TTTAAATATATTTTGACCTTAAATATTACGACTTAAAAGTAATCTGAGATTTGCGTAGGCGGTTCGAGTCCCGCAAGGCCTTACAAACACTGCTGAACAATAAACAAATTCGTCATACTCAACCCGTATTTTTCTTAACAGAGTATAGCAAATATTTGCCTGTTATTTTCATGTTTCGTCACATAAAAACACATTTTACAGAATTGTGGATTAACAAACCTAAATTGATATGTAACTTGTTTTATTCGTTCATCTATTTTAGGTAGTTTGAATGTCGACAAGAAAATTTACGAACACTTATTACTTGTTATACTTGTTACAGTCCTTGGCAATGTTGGGACTGAGTCGGTCTTCAAAAATATTTGAGAACGCCTGTAAAATTTAAGGTTGTTTTGCCTGGCGATGACCATAAAATAGCTCAAAAAGCTCAAAATAGAGAGAGAGAGAGTGAGAGAGAGAGAGAGAGAGAGAGAGAGAGAGAGAGACAGAGAGAGAGAGAGAGAGAGGAAAGAGAGAAAATATATTATATGGTCTCTTTGGACGAAAGCTTGGCAGTAGCAATTGCATTTTTCTTCCTCAAGACCATACCTTGATCAAAAGTATTCGTAAGTGAACAATTGGTCGATACTTCTAATACTGAGTACTGAAAATTAAATATGTTTCTTAACATAATTAACTTAAACTTCCCTCGAGCAAGTAATGTCAAATATCTTGGATTGTATCAATACAAAAACCTAAACTTCACTCATCAATATTAAAGGTGAAAGCATTACAAAGTTGGTCCCCAATCTTTTAACCTTCCAACCTCATACAAGTGCCGCACTTTCAACTTGTCAAATCGCTGCTTAATTTTTTTCAAGTTCGGATCTGTTCAGCATCATCTACGAAATCTAGCATGCCTATTTTGTGTAGTATAAAACATGACCAAAAATCTTTAGGAGTAATTTCCATGAAAGAGAGAAATAAGTGATGTAAGTTTATCCACATTTGGCATCGTCACTGCAGACCGAAATGCTTGGTTATTAAAAGCAATTTTCTTCACTGTTTACAAACAAAGCTGTTGATTCCAAAAGAGAGAGATAGATGGAATGAAAGAGAGAGAGAGAGAGAGAGGGGGGGGGAGAGAGTGAGAGAGAAAGAAAATACAAGAAAGAGATAAAAACCAAGATGAATATAGATAGGGGAAACAAAATAATGTTAAAGTAGGAAATCTCAGAAAAGAGAGGGAGAGAGTAGTTAGTAGTAATATCGAGTAGGACATCAGACCTCATTCAGTCTTATTCTTCACTTTTTGTACCAGTTTTTGGTAAGAATGAAAGACAGAGGTATAAAATATAGATAAGAAGAGGGAGAGAGAGAGAGAGAGAAGAAGGGAACGAGAAAAAGGATGAAAGAGAGAGAGAGGGAGAGAAAAAAATACGAGAAAGAGAGAAAAACCAAGATGAATAGAGATAGGGGAAACAAAATATTGTTAAAGTAGGAAATCTCAGAAAAGAGAGAGGGAGAGAGTAGATAGTAGTAGTATCGAGTAGTACATCAGACCTCATTCAGTCTTATTCTTCACTTTTTGTACCAGTTTTTGGTAAGAAGAAAGACAGAGGTATAAAATATAGATAAAAAGAGGGGGAAAGAGAGGGTGAGAGAGAGATAGTGAGAGAGAGAGAGAGGGTGAGAGAGAAAAGAAGGGAACGAGAAAAAGGAAGAAAGGGAGACAGAGACAGTGAATATTATATGGTAACCTTTTATTTTCCACGCAGAATTATATTAAACCTTTCTTACATGCAATGTATATAGTGAGACTGAAAAAGTGAGAGTGGGATATATTGAAAATTTCAACGAACTCTTAAGGAGAGCACTAAATGAAGAGAAAGTTAGTGCTTTTGCACTCTTAGGTATATCTTTTTTTTAAAGATAATGTGCACGTAAAGATACGTATCAATTTATTCGTAAATATACCTAGATTAAACATTTAATAAGGTTTTCTCTTTCTTTTGACTACTATGTACAAGTAAAACATACACCAGAAGTACAAGGATAAGCTTAATAGAAGATGTAAGCTTGATTTACAGGAAAAGATTTTCGTTTGGCTGAGATTTTACAAAAGTCAGTCATGAAACATTACAAGGGTGCGCCCTGGTATCACAGGATTGGATTTTTTTCTCTAAGAATTAGCCAGGAAGGAACGCGGGGTGATGGATTGCACATGTCGGGCGGAATCATTAAGAGTGCTAATAGAAAGGGGTGTCAGCCAGGGGTTGGAAAGGGTGTTGTTTTTCACAGATTAGCCGCATGCTAACCGGCTTCGGCCGAGATAAGGGCTGTAGCAGGAGTCACCACTGACACCACCACGTCGAAAACCCGGGTCTCCTGATGACTGAGAATAAATGAGGGTAATAAATAAACGTCGTGGCTCTTCTGTGTGGCCAAACTAAGCCACCTCAAGGCCGCAGAGAACCAAAACAAGCCAACCCCTTTACAGCACCAGGCTTCAGGTAGAACTGTCCTAAATAACTTTTCGTTTTTGATAATGACGCCCTATTCTAAATAACCATATGGAAAAAATGCAGGGTGGAACTACCTACTATTATATTTTTTATTACAAACAGATGAACTGATGAATCACATGGTAAAATAAATATATTCTAAAGTCCTTAAAAATATGCTTTACTTGTTATATAAGTGTAAATATATATAGTATTTATGTATAACATTAATTGGTCTTTATTTCCTAAACCATTTAAGGAAATAGGACTAAAACAAAATTTGATGAAGGTTGGAATAAGTTAAAGATTAAATTGAAGTCTTTAGCTTGACTCAATCGTGAATATTGTTGATGAATTAAATAAACAACTACAGTAAAACTTTAATATAATTTAACACGTTCCCCGAGTACATTGTCAACGGTTAAACATGAATGAAAAGGCAGTAAATAGGTTCAAAATAAAAAAATGTATTGAAAGATTACATTTAATTTTCTTTATATTTATTCAAAGATCGTGAGATGCAATCTAGTGTAATGTAGGCTTATAAAAACATTTTCTTTATCCAGCTGATGTTTCGACTTTTATTGAGATCATCTTCAGTGTCTGGGATTTATAAACATCGTTTAAATTGCACATAAATACATATAAGGTATGAATATGCATTTATACTACTTATATTAATCATTAATTAACGGTCTCTAAATACTATACATTTCTTTATATTTGTGAAACCATAAAAGACTCATGACTAAACTCATAAACACTTATTTTGGGGCAAAAGCCATTGTATGTACCCGGCCTCATAGGTTGCTCAATGTGTCCAAAGTAACGGAAAGATGTCTTCCAAGGCACCTTACATAGAATACATTAAGGATATATATGTAAAATATAAGAAGCTTGAATAAGATTTTTTTAAACATGTTTAGGAAAGAAAAGATTAAAAGTGGCATTCCATGTCTAAAAGTAAACGAACATAGCCTCGTTAATTCTCAACCAATTTTCTTGATTTGTTTAAGATTTTCTCAGAAAAAATCGAGTTTGGTTGTGAAAAAATGTATCTATATCGACCTTAGATGAATCAGTTTGTTGGATGTCTTGTAATTGGGTTTGAGGTTATTTTTCTCCGAAAAATTAAACTATTGTTTCCTCTTGATCCAGCTTTCTACCAGCTATGCGGTCTTCCTCAGGAACAGTAACTGATTGAGCTCATTAATTTCCAGTGTTTTACGGAAAGACCCAGTTTAAAAAGTCTTACTTATACGATATACTTTATTTCTTTCTTGTAAACTATTATGAATAAAAAAATATCTGATGAGATAGCGACAAAAAGAACGAGAGTTAGATAGATAGGTATATAGACAGAGAAAGTGAGAGCAAAAATCGTCAATTTAAATACATGTAAGAATTTTTACTTAGAGTAAATATTTAAAATTTTAAGTTTTGACTTAGTCCTTCTTTTATTTTCTCGAAAAAATAAACACATGTAAATTAGTGTACGAGTTGATCAAAATAATATTATGCTACTTTCTCTGCATTATTTGTTTTAGGCGTGTAAAGATCAGTGTTGTATTACTTTTTGTTGATAATACGTTCTATTAAAAATTGTGGTTTAAACATTTACGCCATATTTTGTACTAATGTAATGTTATAACAATTTTCCAATAAGACAGGCTACTCTTCTTACATGATAATTAAATTGCTTTATCGTCTTTCACGTTCCTTAATAGATTGATTTTTATTCAACGTGGTTTTTCGAATAGAAGGTTATTTTATCCTGCACTGTAATTAATTAGAAAATGTATTTTATCCATAGTAATTTATCCTTTTAAATACATTAAATTTAGTGGTCTATTGACCAAATTATTTATTTTAATTAATTAATCTTTTTATGTAAGGTTTTGGTTGAAATGAAAAAGCTAGTGCCACGAGCGGGATTCGAACTCACGACCTTCGGCTTAATACGCCGCTGCTCTACCATTTGAGCTATCGTGACTTCGATCCGTATTTAACCGAAGGTCATGGGTTCGAATTCCGCTCGTGGCTCTAGCTTTTTCATTTCAACCAAAACCTTGCACAAATTTTTTTTAAATACAACTGATGCTGATTTTCCTTAACTTTTTTTTGTAATTTTGTCGGTACTTATCACTCGTTTGTTTATTCTACGTTTGTTAAATTGGATAATTGTGAATTTTAGCAATATTATAAAAGCCATTAAGGTTGATGACAAACATTTTAGTTCTTATATGTTAACGCTCTTCTGGTAATTGAAAAAATTAATATCTATATTCTAAGTTAAATTATTAGTAGAACAACATGAATTTCCTACTTTTGCATGATTATACCAGTGGTGGAATTATATTACTTTTGCCAATATAACAAATTTTAAGGAGAAATAGTTTGTTTGAACAATCCCTCCTAGTATAATATTCAGTACGAAATCCATTTTTATATAGAAATAATTATATGAAATAATATAATTAAGTCAATAATAAAATCAAATATTAATGAATTTCCTACTTGTATATATACCAGTGTGGGTTGACAGCAATTGGTTCGCATTTGAATCGTCATTTCCTACAAGAAATATTCAACAAATTAGTACATTTTCGTTTTTGAATCAATGCATTTTCAAAGTCTTAGACATCTACAGCAGTAGGTTTTATGTTGTAAAACGTGGTAATGTTTGATTTATGAAGACTAGGATTCGAGAGATAAACAAGAATCGTGTTTTTATTTATCGACTCCCCGGGTGCAGCAGGTGTCTGGGGTGGTCCATCTTTCGGAACAGGCATTGTCCTACCACTTCGGAGGCGAGGGAATACAAATGGTCGTCATTTGTCCAACATCACCCGGCCCCAGCTCCAATCGGCCGAAATTCCAAAACCTCCCACAACAATGCGCGCTTCATCAGGAGACGATCTGAGACAAATTCCGGCCCGTAACGAAACATTGGGTTGGTTAAATTCTATGTCACCCAATGATGACAATCTTTAAATATTTAAATACTATTTATATCTCAAAATTTGAATTGTACAAATTAGTATTTGCAACAGAGATCTTCGCAAATACCACGATTCACTTAAAAATGAACTCATTTTTATTTAGTTTGTTCCATTTTTTTTTTATGTGAACATAAGCGTATGTAGTTTAGACAGATTTCATCTTTCTTTGGACTTAAGACACAGACCCCACCATTGAAGATGATGTGAAACCGAAAGCCATCTCACGTAGATTTGTGTAGATGTTCTATATATAAAAATGGGCCTGTTTGGCTTTGCTCTTTATGAAGACTGAGGTCCTCTTCCAATATTTCATCTACCATGTATTTCGATTTTAACAAAAAGTATAAATTTTATAAATACCGATATTTAAACAAAAAAATTGAATTTGTACCTTGTTTTTTCAGGACGTAACGGCACGGGCAACGTTTCTGGCGATCGTGTGCGACCAAGAGATCAATCAAAATTGATCGATGTGGTACAAGAGTTGGACCGCGATCGGTAAAACACCTACATGCCTTGCTAAAGTAGTTGAAAAGACATTCGGACAACTTCCGTTGCCAAACCTGACTCTAAGTGGTTTTGCCTGTGGACAATCCATCAAAAAAATCGTGTGATTGTTAACCGGCGAGTAAACCGATTCGGACCTCGCTAGCACGGGTGGACTTCACGCTACTTAGCCGGATTTCACGCTAATAGAAAAGCATGACATTGCTGTCTGGGTGGATACCGCATTAGGCCAGTAGGTCGGATAAAACACCGGAAATAATTTACACTAAACTAAGGTTAAGAAAAAAATTTGAAACTTATCATTCACTTTCGAAAGTGAACGCGAAAACAGATCCGCCGTTAGTGTTAAACCGGGATCACAAGTCTGTTAATTTATAATTCCGTTAGGTATTCCCTTGACAAATGAGTACAATGACCGATGAGTAAACAGTAGAAGACAAACTAATTCTGTTTGATACAGACTTGTTGAACTACAATGCGAATTGTAAAGAAGAAATTTTGAAAATCCCCGTCCCACAAAATTGAAAATCGAACGAAACGAAAATCGCTGTTATAATGTTAATTTATATTATTTGCTATAGGTTTCTTTTCAAATTTGGCAAATTTTTAAAAGAAATGTTTCATGAAGACAATAATAAGAAAGGTTTTCTGGTTAGGTCTGTGACTTTTCAGCAATAATGGCGGTTCGCCTATTACCGCTTTATGGTTTATTAGGATTGCTAAATTATGTCGAGTAATGCAAAACCTCCTATGGAATATAATTGACCGAAAAAGCTATTGAAACATTTAAATCTAAAACTGGCCGTAAATTGTTGAAGGCATATACTACCACTGTACAAAACGGTATGTCAGAACTGAAAGAAATTATTCTATATATGGATAATACTGTAATAAATCCTGCTTAAGAAAGTAAAAATGAATAACTTGTCGAATAAACAAAAATAATAAACAGTAATAAAGATAATGAATTATTTTTGCAGTGGTCTTATTTTGTTGTCTTCTTGTTCGCCAATTCTCGTTGGTTTGGCACGTCAGAGGGGTTTGAATTTTTCCCAATTTTTAGTCCTTGGTTTCACTCATTGTGTCTGTGATAACACAACATTTCTTCAAAATGTAATAAATTTGGAAACTAAAAGTCGACAAAACCACAGTAATCGGCGGTAAAAAGCGAAACCTGCCGGACGTAATAAACCAGCGAGAATAGACTGACAAGGATGATTTAAAACGACCAAACTTCAGCATAAAACATGTTACTTCTACTGCAAAGAATTTTCATGCATCCAAGTATACGATTTTATGTCCGGTTTACCAAATGCTTCGTATGTTAACCCCAAAAACATTTATCATGTTATCCTTGAAAGTTTCTTTTATTATTTAAATGTGGAGAGTAGCAAATGAATAAAATTATGTTAAAATTGTTAAAATTTACTTTATTAACTTAATGATTTTTTTAAAATGTGTTTCTATACGTATTCTAATATTTTTATATAAATGCCTTAATATATTGAATATTTCCAGATTAAATATTTTTTGAAGTCTGGTTCAGCCTATCAAGAAATTAAAGTTGAATACTATACTAGTTAAATATTTTTATTTTAAGTGAACTTACTAAGTAAAACAAGAAAAATATTAGACATGTATCCGAGAGCGCTTGCCGAAATTTTTTTTGTGAAATTTAAAATAATTTTTATATTAATTTAGTTATTGTTAGCGTAAACACAAAAATAATAAATCTACGGACAAGCAAATTCAACCTGGTGAAGTACAATACACACACTATTTTATAGCCTAGGGACGCGACGTGGCGAAGTAAGCTAAAACATTTATTTAGCAAGAAACAAAGTTGGTATTCATACTTTACTTCCCCAAAAACTCCCGGGTACAAGTTTTAAGGAAAAGTTTTTTTCTCTCAAGATCTTCTTTCAAAATCATAAAAATGGTGATAACTTTGAAACAACTTCATCAATCTACTGTAAACTGTGTATGAAGTTAAAACAGTAAAACACGTACAGAGGGATAACATAGGCCACCGGTAAATAAATTAAAACCGGAGATGTAAAATTATTACTTTGTGGAGTTTTTGTTCATTTTAACCTTGTTTTTTCGCTTAAAATGAGAACAACTTTTGTTTTGTTTGTTTTTGAAATAGGCTCAAAGATAAGAAATGCAACTTTTCAACGGTTGTAATATGGTGGATCCGAAATAAAATTCAGAAGAGTTATGAATTTTTATGTGGAACACCGAACAAAGAAAAAATGCTTAGAAAAAATATGTTATAAAAAATCGAATTTAAGGAATTTAAAGGTTGATTTGATTTTTTCAAAACTTATTTTTTTTCTTACTTTAGAGGCACAGACCTTTCGTTTTCTTATTTTTTATATACCTAATCTCATTTATTACTTTTACATATTATTTTCTTACCCTAGATTAACATTAACAAAACGTAGAAAAGGTTGAACTTGAAGAGGATTTCAGTTCGTTGGTAAGAAATTTCGGACAATAATCTAATATTTGTCGACTGAAACTGAGAGGGAAAATTTATCGTGCAGCTGTTGGGAATCGATGAAGATTAAGTTTATGCGTACTACTATAAAAAAGGTTGCCCAAGCATAACATCACGACCTCCAGCTTCTCCGGAGTGAAATGTTGCGGGAATATACATTGCTCTCCTGTCCTTCTACAAACCCTCTCTCGGCCGAAAGAAGACCAAACAAAACCTTGACTCGTCCGAAAACAAGATTTTAGTCCGATCTTGCTAGGTCAATTGATGTGATTTCTTTCGAAACTTAACCGAGCTGCTCTATGCCTTGTCAGAAGTTCTGGATCAGAGACACGCCTCCTCTCACGTAATCCAGTTTCTGAAAGTCTTCGGCTTACAGTGCCCAAACTGACATTAACATTTTTAACTTGTGAAGTTGCCTGGCCTCAACGTTGGTAGAATGTCGATTTTGGCGGATTTCGGCGAAATTCGAAACAATAAAACGATCATCTCTCTGAGATGTGACACGATGGCGCTTGGATCCATGGTACTCTTCGGACAGTGGTCTGAAAATGTTAAGCCTTCTTCCATCTTTCAGCAATGCTATGTTTCTAGCCGAATCTGTATCACTTAAAACCATTACTCAATTTCAACCCAAATTTGAACATTAAAGATGTTACATCTTAAAAAAATCAAACCTCGGGGACGATAGAAAGAAACTTTACAAACAAGCAATAAAGAAGAAATTGACTATTCAATGATTTATTTACAAAATCCAGATGTAAACAAAAGTGGGAGATTTTATCTAGTTAGTAATTGATGTAATTGACCTCTAATCCTTTAAAACGGAAGAAATATTTAAATAATTTGTAATATAATAAGTAATAATTTATAAGATAATCAACGGAGGATTGTCTTTGATATACTAAAAAATATTAAGGGTAGCCACCCCCTCTCATTGTAGTATCATTAATATCAGTGATCCCATGGCCCTTGTAAAATATAAAGCTCGGGAAAATTGAGAAAAAAGTGTCATTTTGCTGTAATTGCAAAACAGAACTTTCTCGAATAAGCGAGGATCAGCAGACCAAGAATACTCAACGAAAATCCAATTGTGAAAACAAGTTTATTGTTATGATTTATTAACACATACTTTTCAAAAATTCTAAACGAAATGTGAAGCACTCAAAAATTTATTATAACTATTTACTAATTATTTAACTTTTTTATTGTATAACAAAGTGCAATTTTTCAAAATGTGTTTGCAAAACATGTACGATTTTCGAGACGCAATGCTTCTCGTATTTTATGTTAAACACAATGACAGACAAAATTAACGCTTCTTTAATAAACAGACCTGGCGCATTATTGATAAAACAGCCGAAATAAATAAAATAATATACTGTTTTTTTTAAACCGTACATTAACCAAAAGTGACTACTAACTATCAAAATAAGAACGGAAAAATCTTCGGAAAAAGGATTGCGGCCAGGGCGTGTTTCCGTAGGAAGGGAGATAAATGAGGGTCATGCGTGGTGCTGCCTGGGCTTCATTCACGGCAATTTATCATTCCTTTAACAAACAAT